TGGTGGGCGTTCCATCGGCCTCTCGGACGTGCTGGTGGCCGCGCTGGTATCGCTGGCCTGGTGCACGAGATGTCCGGGCGCCGCTGGCGCTGGGCAGGCGGCTCTGCCAGCTGTGGATCGTGTGCGACGTTCTCTGCTGCACAGCAAGCATACTGGAAGGTGACTGCCATAGCGCTGGAACCGTACTGGTCCATCACCGGCACCTGGAGTACACGTCCGCACGCGCAAAGTGCGTGTCCAACCGTATGATCCGCCGCTCCCCTGGGCGCTGTCTGCTGTCATCTCGCTCTGGCTTGCCGCTCGCTGTTACGGCTGGAGAGACTTACACGGAGAGCAGCGAGGAGTGGCCGGTCAGCCGCGAGCCGCTCCTACCCGTGTTCTCCACGTGGGGCCTTCTAACCCTCCGCTCCTGCGTGTGGGCTGTTTCGTCGTACCTGGAAAGATCTACAAGGCCGCCAAGTTCCGAGTTGAGCTCCAGGAGAGCAATAGACGTCTTACCTTATCTGACGCTTGGAGGTGGGTGTCCCTGGAGCTTCCTTAAAATACTCTCCTTGCATTTGTGTGCGCTTGTCGAAGTCTCCCCCCTGTCCTGTGCCCGGCAGTGAGGAACGCGCGGTCCCCCCCTGTCCTGTGCCCGACGGTGAGGAACGCGCGGTCCCCCCCTGTCCTGTGCCCGGCGGTGAGGAACGCGCGGTCCCCGCCCCTATCCGTTGCGCTGCAGTGAGGAACGCGCGGTCACTGCCCTGGTCCCGTGCCCGGCAGTGAGGAACGCGCGGTCCCCGCCCCTATCCGTTGCGCGGCAGTGAGGAACGCGCGGTCACTGCCCTGGTCCCGTGCCCGGCAGTGAGGAACGCGCGGTCCCCCCCTGTCCTGTGCCCGGCGGTGAGGAACGCGCGGTCCCCCCCTGTCCTGTGCCCGGCGGTGAGGAACGCGTGGTCCCCGCCCCTATCCGTTGCGCGGCAGTGAGGAACGCGCGGTCACTGCCCTGGTCCCGTGCCCGGCAGTGAAGAGCTCGCGCAGTTCCTGCTGAGGTAGCGTGCGCTGCCTCTGTGCTCCGGTGTCCGCGAGTTCACTTGTCACTTTTGTGTATCGATGTAAATGTCAGCATGGTTAAAAAGGCAAACAATATTTTGACATTATTGTAAAAATAGTTTTGACCTTGCAGACCCACTGAAAATGACTGGGAGACTCCTAGAGGGTCACGGACCACACTTTGAAAACCGTTGACTTATATAATCTGGGATCCTTCGGACCACTTTCTGAGGGAAAGTCAACTCTATCGAGTAAGAACATACGTGCTTGCCACGGTCGGTTCCAAGTGAGCTTGAACTACTTTGGTTCTTCTTTCTGCTAGGAAAGGAAAAGAAAGTCACTCATCGGTGGCCGGATGTTTGACACTGCATACCCCCACCGAGAGCTATGCTGCTCCCCTTGAGCATGGACACAGTCAGTCCTGCACAGGACAGAGTCTTGCTCTGTCACCCAGGCTAGAGTGCCGTGGCATCCACCTGGCTCACAGCAACCTCAAACTCTTGGGCTCAAACAATCCTCCTGCCCCAGCCTCCCGAGTAGCTGGGACTACAGGCATGCGCCACGATTCCTGGCTAATTTTTTCTATATATCTTTAGTTGGCCAATTAATTTCTTTCTATTTTTAGTAGAGACAGGGTCTCGCTCTTGCTCAGTCTGGTCTCGAACTCCTGACCTTGAGCGATTCACCTGCCTCAACCTCCCAGAGTGCTAGGATTACAGGCATGAACCACTGCACCCGGCCAAGGAGGCTTGGGCTGATAATAGCTTCTATTTTTTTCTTTTTATCCTTTGAAAAAGAGAAAGATATACTTTGCCAACATTTAATCTCAATTGAAACTAGCACACTTAGGCACAGGTTGTGTGTGGTTCTTACAATGTCCTGAACGAAGAGTAGGATTTTCCCTCAGCTGATAGTGGCACCATATTCCCTAGCTTTCAGCATATTGTGATAAATAGTTGCTGTCTGATTTTATGTAAACCAAATGGACAAGAAAATAGACTTTTTATATGTATAATAAATAAGGGTATGGGACTGTGGCCTTATGAGAAGAGAAGACAGCTGTCATGTGAGGACACAGTGAGGCAGCTGTCTGCAAACCAGAACCCCGAGAATGCTGGCACCCTTATCTGCGACTTCCAGTCTACAAATAATTGCACTAATTGAGAGATACCGAGAAAATAAATTTCTGTTGTTTCAGCCACCCAGTCTGCGGTATTTTGTTACGGCATCCTGAGCTGACTGAAACAAAGGATTAGCCTGCAACTATTGAGAAATCCCGATCATTAATACGATCAACAACATACAGATTAAAAGCACTGGCTTGGAGTCACACTCGGGTTCAAACCTCATTTGATTTGGGGCAAGTTACTTTACCTCTAAGACATTTCCTCAATTATAAAATAGAGGTAACAGTATCTTACAAAACTCTTTGAGGTATTGTCACATAGGGACACTTATTTAAATGTCTGGCACATAATGAAGATTTTATGCAACGAGTGAGCAGTTAATGATTTATTCATTTCATAAAATTGTGATGGTTAGGGTGGGTAGAAAAGAATCTCATCTAAAATACCCTTGCCCTTGCAAGGGGTAGAGTAAGGTTATATTCTGCATTTCCTATTTTTTCCTGCTTTCAAACTTGTGGCTTAAGGATTAGCTCCTATTTGAATGAAATACACCCATATCTTTCCATTATAGAAAATACAATAAGCATTTTTCTATATGCCAATGATATGGGTTGATAACAAACTGTAAATCACCTCCATAGACAACAGAGCCTGCAATCTAATTATTGCTAGAATGGCTACAAACTACATTTTATAATGACAAGTTTTTAGTGGATGTCTTGTAATTTGTTAATATGTCTGTAACTGCCCCCCAGCCCCCTGCCACCCACCCCAGGGTATCATTTCATGCAGATATCTGGGTTTTTTGGTTTTTTTTCTGAGACAGAGTCTCACTCTGTTGCCCGGATTAGAGTGAGTGCCATGGAGTCAGCCTAGCTCGCAGCAAACTCAAACTCCTGGGCTCAAGCGACTTCTGCCTCAGCCTCCCGAGGAGCTACAGACATGCACCACCATGCACAGCTAATTTTTTCTATATATTTTTTCTAGTTGGCCAATTAATTTGTTTCTATTTTTAGTAGAAACGGGGTCTCACTCTTGGTCAGGCTGGTCTCGAAGTCCTGACCTTGAGCAATCCGCCCACCTCGGCCTCCCAGAGTGCTAGGATTACAGGCGTGAGCCGCCACGCCCGGCCACCCTGCACTGTAACTTAATAATTCCTTTAAAGACCATCATTCTAAACGTAATCACATTGTGAGGTTCTGGAGGTTAGGACTTCAGCATACACATTTTTAGGGGAAGGATGAGATGCAATTTAATCCACGGTAGGTGCCAGGCCAGGAACTCCTATTCCCCGATCCTGGCATTCCAGAGGTACTTTATGGGAGGTGGGAATTTCATCCCTTTTTAGATTTTTTTTTTCAAGCTAAAATTGGGACCATGCTTTAAGATAAAAAACTGGAATGTTGGCCGGGTGTGGTGGCTCACGCCTGTAATCCTAGCTCTCTGGGAGGCCGAGGCGGGCGGATTGCTCGAGGTCAGGAGTTCAAAACCAGCCTGAGCAAGAGCGAGACCCTGTCTCTACTATAAATAGAAAGAAATTAATTGGCCAACTAATATATATAAAATAAAATTAGCCAGGCATGGTGGCGCATGCCTGTAGTCCCAGCTACTCGGGAGGCTGAGGCAGGAGGATTGCTTGAGCCCAGGAGTTTGAGGTTGCTGTGAGCTAGGCTGACGCCACGGCACTCACTCTAGCCTAGGCAACAGAGTGAGACTCTGTCTCAAAAAAAAAAAAAAAAAAAACTGGAATGTTCTAATTTCTCATTTGTGTTCATATAAGAGATAAACCAGAATTTATGAATATGATTTGGTCTTTCTGTAAGTACTCCATTTGATCTCTTCTTTGTGGGGGCATTCTAATGTTTATGACACTCCAGTCTTCACAAGTTATCCTCAGTGATGCCTAGAACTTCTGCTGTTCACTTAACTGTCAGTACACTCATGCCGGTGGGAATATGATCACAAGCCCATGCTGCTTTCCAAAATCTGCACGGAGAGGTACTCGAGGCCTGCTGGCCAGGTGTGTGGCTCATCCGTTCCTCCTGGGCATGGTCCTCTGAAACTGGATGCAGAGTTGCTTAGGGAGTTTTTTTTTTTTTTTTTCAAAGAGGAGCATTCGGAGTTTACATCTTGTTCCAGTTAGTTCCATGACCTCAAGAAGGTGTTGTGCTCCAAACAAGCACAAGCTGGCTCCTTGGTTAGAGCCACACGCAGGCGGGCGGCCACCAGCGGCCGTGTTGGGGTGGAGCTTGGTGAAGCAGCGCTGTGAGTGGTCCTGCATTGAGCCCATTTGCCCTGTCATCTGGGCTCTAGCAGAGGAGGTGCTCCACTGTCAGTGCCTCCTCCTGATTCTTGTTTTTCTCTGTTAGAAACAAAATCTTACACATGTTTCTCACTTTCAAATAGCTAAACAGATTCTGACCAAATTTACTTGTAAATGTAGGGGATTTCATGCCTCTCATTATATGCACTTTTTAAAAAGCTTAATGCCATGTTATCTTTTCTTTCATTTCTGTTATACTATTTTTCTTTTTTGTTTTTTTTTCATTTTTTTTTTTTTTTTGAGACAGAGTCTCACTCTGTTGCCTGGGCTAGAGTGCTGTGGCATCAGCCCAGTTCACAGCAACCTCCAACTCCTGGGCTCAAGCGATCCTCCTGCCTCAGCCTCCCGAGTAGCTGGGACTACAGGCATGCACAACCATGCCCGGCTAATATTTTCTATATATTTTTAGTTAGCCAATTAATTTCTTTCTGTATTTTTAGTAGAGATGGGGTCTCGCTCTTGCTCAGGCTGGTCTCTAACTCCTGACCTTGAGCGATCCGCCCATCCTGACCTCTCAGAGTGCTAGGATTATAGGCATGAGCCACTGTGCCCCGCCTATACCATTTTTTCTTATTGCAACTTATTTTTGTTCACTACATCATGTCTCTTCTTGAGCTGCCTTAAATCATAACTTCTGGGTAGGAGGTTTTGATATTCTCTTGATCACTGTGGATGTGTTCATGGTTGTTTTGTGTGTGTGTGTGTAGGGGAAGAGTTAAATGAGTGAGATGGAGCTTTTGTAACAACTTGTAGCCAACTTTTCCTTCATGGGAAGCAAATTTAGTGGCGGCCACTGAGGTGGCTCCCAACCTCTGCGGGACTTGGAGGAAAAGGTGAAACGTTCTGGCTCCGGGACCTCAGCTGTCTCTAAGGCAGCAGCAACTGCTCTCTTGCCGTTTCTCCTTTAGGGAAAACCACGCAGTTGTGTAAGAAGGAAGCAATCATGTGCTGAAATCTTCTGGAAATGAAAACCCAGTGCAACTATCTTAGACCCCTAACTCTGAACACTTACATGAAAGGTAAACACCTGGGAGAAGCTGACAGACCACCCCAAGTCTCCAGACCACCCTAAAGCCATGAGGGTGGGGGATGGCTAGGGGAATGTTTCAAGGAAAGTTCATGGGTCACCTTGTTCCACGCAGGCAACCCACCTAGGGCAAGAGCGACAGCACCACGGACACCGCCAAGCCCGGGGCTGGGGTGGGGACAGGCGTGGGCGGCACCAACAGAGCAGAGAGCAGGGACTGCACGCTGGAGCCGGGAGGGAGGCGAGCGCGGCAGCACCATGGACAGCGCCAAGCTCGGGGCTCAGGTGGGGACTGGCGGCGGGCGCACCAACAGCGCAGAGCGCAGGGACCGCGCACTGGAGCCGGGAGGGAGGTGAGAGCGGCAGCACCACGGACAGCGCCAGAGCTGCGCACGCCGGGAGGCGGGGAGAGATGGTCTTATCCGCTGACGTCTTACGTAGGGCTGGATCCCCACTTTGATAAGGCAGGTCTAGGTGGGCGCGCCAGCCTTCCTTCCCCACGCCGCAGCCTCAGACGGGGTGGGGAGGGGAACGGAGCAGAGCACAAGGCAGGTCCCAAAAATTGGCTTCCTGGGCACGGAGTTGAGGCTGCAGCCTGCTGGCTGGAGAGCGGGGCGGGCAGGGAGGCGACAGCACCGAGAGCTAGTGCTCTGACGCACAGCCCCTCTCCCGGCACCCCCAAGCGCCCAGCTTCTCCCTGACCTGGGAGATGCTCCGCTCTGGCCGGCCAGACCGCCGCTTCTGCCGGAGCGAGGAGACTTGAGTGTGCGACAGCTTAGGCGAGCCCTGGCTGCGGAACAACCCCTCGCCTCGGAACAACCCCTTCCCTAGCCCCTGAGGGCTTCAGACCTGCGCGCTTGCACCCTCCTCTTCTCCACCCTTGGGGCCAAATTCACGGGCATTTTCCAGAAACCTCACCCCTTGGCCAGAGGCTGCAAACATCCGGATTGGCTTTGAATGCACTGATCACTTTAAGTTTTCTGGAACGCCCATTCCTCAAGCACCCCGGGCCCCGTCTCCTGACCCAGAGATGGATTTGCCTGTGAACCTAACCTCCTTTTCCCTCGCGACCCCCTTCCCGTTGGAGACCAACCGCAGCCTTGGCGCAGACGGCCGGCGCCCCAGCGCGCCCCTGCTCTCCGTCTTCAAAGTGCTGGTTCTGACACTGCTGGGCTTCCTGGTGGCTGCGACGTTCGCCTGGAACCTGCTCGTGCTGGCCACCATCCTGCGCGTGCGCACCTTCCACCGTGTGCCGCACAACCTGGTGGCGTCCATGGCCATCTCGGACGTGCTGGTGGCCGCGCTGGTCATGCCGCTGAGCCTGGTGCACGAGATGTCCGGGCGCCGCTGGCGGCTGGGCAGGCGGCTCTGCCAGCTGTGGATCGTGTGCGACGTTCTCTGCTGCACAGCAAGCATCTGGAACGTGACTGCCATAGCGCTGGACCGCTACTGGTCCATCACGCGGCACCTGGAGTACACGCTCCGCACGCGCAAGTGCGTGTCCAACGTCATGATCGCGCTCACCTGGGCGCTGTCTGCTGTCATCGCTCTGGCTCCGCTGCTGTTCGGCTGGGGAGAGACTTACACGGAGAGCAGCGAGGAGTGCCAGGTCAGCCGCGAGCCCTCCTACACCGTGTTCTCCACCGTGGGCGCCTTCTACCTGCCGCTCTGCGTGGTGCTGTTCGTGTACTGGAAGATCTACAAGGCCGCCAAGTTCCGCGTGAGCTCCAGGAAGACCAATAGCGTCTTACCCTTATCTGACGCTGTGGAGGTGGGTGTTGGAGCTATCCTTAAAAATACTCTCCTTGCATTTGTGTGGGCATTGTCCCCCCGAACGTCCTCCCCACCGCCTACCGTTGTAGAAAGTAGAACTGTTTGGTTTGGGGTGTAGTAAGCCGGGAGAGAGAAAGAAAGCGTCAGAAACTTGCTTTGCTCTGACGTTTCCTGTCACAGAGCTAACCATGTCATCTGCCATCTCTCTCTCTCTTTTATTTGCCATCCCTGATGGGTTCTTTCTTTATATGTAAAATGAGGGGTTTGGATTACATAATTCTGCAGAGTTCCCTTTGGTTCTAAAACTGTATGGATCTACAGCACCCTTTAGGACGTCTGGGTAAGTTGGTCTCTGGGGTACACTGAATCAGTACACTGAAAAACATTGCAGCTTCCTGCACTGAGAGTGGGGGTTTTCGGGGAGCAAGGGAGGGAAGGGCAGTAGCGTGATTTGACGGGAAGACTGCCATGCATTAGGCAAAGCAGCTGGTGTTTTATCCCAGCCCATTTTTTTCTTTGCAAAATAACAACTGATTTTTTTTTTTTTTTGCAAAATGTGGTATCACCTAGGTTACTATCACTCTGCAGTACCCTCCCTCCTAGTGTAAGATTAAAGATGTTGTTTACACTAGTCCCAGAGCCTGCATTTGCTATCTTCCTGAACATGGGTCAGTTAAGGGAGGAAATGAAAAATCCAGGGAAGACAATTCCCAGCTCTCTATAAGTGGCATTTAATGTACCACAACCATGACAGCAACAAGGAGGGCTTTTTCTCATCCTCTCCCCATCCACACGTTCCTGTTTTTTGTTAAGTCTTAATAATCTGACCCAATGACTCAGGATTCTGAAACTGCGTAGGAGCTGAAAACATCAGATTTGCAGACACCTCCCCCTCCCGATTGACAATGGTGATTCCTCGAACCTAGTTTTCACATATTTAAGTTAAACCAGAAATCTACACAACCCCCATCTTCTGTCACTTGCCTTCAGACAACAAATTTAGTTCAATCAAGCAAACTGAGTGCATATATATGGGCTTGGTGCAAGAGGTAAAAGAACGATACAGACATTGTCTTTGTCCATGAAGAGCTTGATCTAATGAGGGAAATGGACACTCTTCATGAGATTTGCTTGTGTTTTCTGGAGTCAGCAGCTATTCATAACTCTTACCACACCCAGTCATTCAAGCTTAGAGGGGCCAGAGACGTAGCTAGGAAAAGAAGGAGGGGGGGGGAGGGCTTTGTTCTAGAAGAAAGAAGAAAAAAGGAGTCAGGGCTACCTGTCCTTTAATCTAGATCAGCAGTTCTCAGCTGATATTGGGTGATATTGTCGTTCCCCCCCCACACCCCAGGAAACATTTGGAATGTCTGGACGCATTTCTGATTATCAAGACTGGGGAAGGGGGTGCCCACGGCATCTAGGGAGTAGAGGCCAGCAACCCTGCTAAGCATTGCAGGCTGCACAGGACAACCCTCGCCACATGGGATTGTGCAGACCAAAATGTCAATAGTACTGAATTTGGAAAGCTCTAATCTATTAGCTTTCTAAACTCAGCAAGGAGTGCCGATGGATAAGAACTCTGACACTTCCGGCAAACTGCCCAGAGCCATCCTCCAGGTGTGCAAACATCCATGCAAACCATGCAAGTTCCAGGTCAGGAGCAAGAGGACTGGCCACCTTCAAGGCCCCTCCCTACATTAATCCTCTTCTGCCAGGATGCTTATCTAGGCAAACACGGTCTACAGTCAATACTAAACACAGCTTTAAGGCCAGGCGTGGTGGCTCACGCCTGTAATCCCAGCACTCTGGGAGGCCGAGGTGGGTGGATCTCTCAAGGTCAGGAGTTCAAAACCAGCCTGAGCAAGAGCGAGACCCCATCTCTACTAAAATTAGAAAGAAATTAATTGTCCAACTAAAAAAAAAATACATAGAGAAAAAATTGGTCGGGCATCGTGGCACATGCCTGTGGTCCCAGCTACTAGGGAGTCTGAGGCAGGAGGATCACTTGAGCTCAGGAGTTCGAGGTTGCTGCTAGGCTGATGCCATGGCACTCTAGCCGGGCAACACAGTGAGACTTTGTCTCAAAAAACCAAAAAACTCCACAGCTTTAAAAGGGGGAGAGTAATTATAATTCTATCTCCAGGTTTATTGTAAAAGGATGAAGGGTTCTCTCATTTCTCTGCTTTGGAGGTAGCAGAAGCAAAGCATTATAACACTTGTGCTTTGATATGTGTGTGTGTGTGTGTGTGTATATATATATATACATAGACACACACATACATACATAGACACATACATGTATACATAGACACACACACATACATACCACATAGACACACACTGCTTTATTCTCTCTCTCTCTCTCTGCCAGATCACTTTTAGTAAATGGGTCCATCTTTATGTTATGTTGAAGGGTTTAATTACAAACAATTTCTCTGTGACGTTTCTAAATACAGTTCCACCGCCATTTAGTTGTATCCCCTAGGGAAACCACAACACCTCTTTCTTGTTTCTTCTTCTGCTGAGCTTTATTCAAATACAGGCAAACCCTAACCCACGACAGATGCTGAGATGGGATCTGGCAACAAGAACCTTGCCCTTGTCAAAGGACGATGAAACCACCATGAAAGATCTGAGATAAAAGAGCAAAGAGAAATGAACTGCTTGCTAGAGGGAGGGAGAGCTCGGCTGGCCAGGCACAATCTCCCCGAGCAGAGCAGAATGCTAATCTTAAGTGGCACTTTGGGAGGTGTGGAGTTAGGGGATTGGTGGACTGTGGGGCATGAGTGGATGACGTTATGCATAGGAGCAGCTGTTGCCGATTGGTTGCTACTCTGGGGGGGGGGGTGATTGCTGGAGTGAGTTCACCCCTGCTGGCCTGCGTTTCAGAGTGAGAAGCTAACACCTACAGGTTGGCTTTGAAATCCATCTTTATAGAGATAAATTGTCTTTGATTGACACAGTAAGCTGACAACTGGCTAAAGAACACTCAGTCTTTCCCTAAGTTTGTGGGAACATTTAGTTCTTGGTCTCCCATCCTTGTTCCCAATTCAGCCATAGTTTCAGGAGAAACCTCAGGAATTGTCCAGATTTTCAACCCTGTTGTCAGTCCTCTTCCTAAAGATGGAGTTTCCTCTGTGGACATCTGAAGGTCAGATTACACATTAATCAATGTGATTCTTTTTGTTTCCTATTTCAAAAGCATTTCTTGAATCATCTGTCGGGACAGTGTTGTGCAGAAGCGTGTGAGGTTCTGGATGCCAGGCACCAAACAGCTGTGAGATAAACAAGGATAACTAGAAGTATTTTAAGAAGGAACCGGGTGATATCCCAGGTTTTTGACCCAAGATTTCCCAGCTCTGATCAAGAAAGCAAGTCCCAAAGGTTCCCTGGAAGGTCTTTCTTAGTTAGCTATGATCCTTTTCATCCTAGCTTAAATATAGATTGTTTTACCTCTGTGTTAATCCAGGTACAACATGACGTGTTGGCTCTGGGGTAGACCCCTCTATGGTTGACCAAAAGAAAGCCTATTCTATTAGTCATGACTATTCGTGTTCATTATTGTGGCTTGTCTAATTTGTTATGTCAGCCAATGTAGGTATTATTTACTACGAAAACATTTTTTTTTTTTAATGAAAACATCTGGTTATGTACTTCCTATGGCTGGAGTTGCTATCCTCAGGAGATTTTTCCCTGAGAGTTTAATCCCTTTGGACTTCAGGTGAGGAGATATAGTCCACCGAGGGCATTGGAGAGCCAGCCTTGGGATGGCCTAACTTAAGGGCCTATTGAAATATTAACCTTTCTTCTGGGTTGACATGGAGAAGCTTCATTTCAGCACTGGATGAAGAACACAGGAACAGTACAGAAGACCTGATCCCCTCTGGTGAACTTGTGGGCACGTCGTCTACCTGTCACTAATCCATGTGGCTTATACCATTGGCTTGTTCCAAGTTTCCTGCTTTGGCAGTTAATGTCCCTGCTTCTACTGCAGGTTCTCTTGAGGGATTCAGGTCAGAATAATTTTAGGTAACATCAAGTAATTCACATTTGTTCATTTTAGACTACTGGAAGCAGATGTGGCTATTGCATGTTGAATAAGTGAATTATTCTGCAAGTATGCCAGTTATCAGTTTACACGCCTTCTCTTTTATTTCTGCAATTTGTTACCCCCTGGAAAGGGCCGTAGTCCAGTCGTTACAGAACTTGGCTTCTGGAAAGAAATTGGATTTTATGAGAAAGACTAGACTACTTATTATATATCAAATCTGGTATTGTCCCTTTTATTTTCATAATATAGTACCCATCAACAGGCAATATTAAGTTGGAATTTGGTATAAGAGCATCAAAGTTCTGTTTGAGGCAAAGTCACTTCCATTACAGGAGCACGATTATGAGATTTTCCTTCACTGGCTAAGGATTATACAATTGCTGGGTTCTGCGTGTTACCCCGGTGGATGGTACTGAGAGAAGGGGAAAGCAACAATGAGTCATTATTAACCAACTAGCGGAAAAACGCTGGGTAATTTCAGCTAGCAATTGGGATCTATTACATGTGGCAACATAAGATGTAAAGGCCTAACATAAGTTGTTCTGAAGATGTGTTGGCTGATCGAGTTGGTGCCTGTGATTTCTCAGAGGCAAGGAGGAGAAGGCTTGGTTACTGAGTTAGGTGGTGGGTTTAAAATAGGCGCTGTTCTTGGACAGGTGTCGGGATGTCTCGTCACCCCACCTAGAGCATGGCCCTGCATGCTTATATTTGTGTAAAAAGAAAAGTTCATGATAACCTAGGGAGAATTCATCTGAACTCTTAGCATTCTACTCTAAATGAATTTTCCGTTTGTGGAGTCTCTTGTTCACAGGGATTCTGGTACCATCCCTATTTCCTTTGTGATGTCTTGATTTATACCCAGTATAGGTGTTCCCATGCCCAGATGAGCTACATTCCTATCGTGCATAAGGGCTGCAGGACATTTTGCCTGCAAGAAGAGCCCACCT